CACACAACACAATGGCTAAAAGGCCCTGAAGGGGACATAAAAGCTGAAAAGTCTTACTGGTAGCCGTTAGTGGGGCAGGAAAAAAGGCGGGAAGTCCAAAGCAGCCAAAATTGAGGGGAAATCCAAAGATGGTGGATCGAAAGAGTAGTCCGTGTCAGGGAAGGAGATAATTCACCAAGTCAGTCCAAACCAATGTCAAAAAACCAAATATATCAGTCCAAACAGCGAAAATATAAAGAGCTCGAAGCGAGAGGGTCCAAATCGCTAGGCAGAAAAATGGAACTGAGGCTTGAGCGGGCGGAGGATGTGCGCTATAGGCAGCCTTTAACTTTGTTACTTTTCTCTTAAAGCTGGAGAATGTTCCAAGAAGACCAACGCTGGCGCTGGGTTAACCCTTTTGTGTGCATTCACAGAAGACCACGATGAAGAAGTATATTTTCCTCAAAAAACAGACAAAATCAGCATTATCCAACGGAAGCAACAACAGCATGACATTGCAACAATTATTCATCTATCCCAAGAAGTTATGTAATGTCAAATACAGTGGTGCCCCGCTTGACGACGATAATGCGTTCCAACAAAATCACTGTACAGCGAAATCGTTGTCAAGCAAAAAAAACCCATTGGAATGCATTGAAAACCGGTTAATGCATTCCAATGGGGAAAATACCTCATCATCCAGCGAAGATCCTCCATAGGGCGGCCATTTTCGATCCCTGTCTTGTAAAGAATCGGTCCGAAAAACAGCGGGGAGCCATTTTGCGATCGCAGAAAAGGCATCGTAAAGCAATTTCATTGTCAAGCGGGGTCGTCGTCAAACAGGGCACCACTGTCTAAGTAGCACTTGTATGACCTGGGAAACTTTTTGTTTTTTAAAAAGGAAATGCATCTCTTACATTAGCCTACCCCAGTTTTGTTCCCTCTAGAAGAAATGATCTGGAAACAGTCTAGAAAATATCCCTCTGCTCATCTCTCTTTTATTCTGATACTGTCTGTTTTAATTCTTGGTTTTATATAGCTCGGACTGTAAACTGCCCAGAGTAGATTCATTTAGAATCTAGAGGGGTGGGGTAAAAGACAAATAAATAAATAAATAAATAGAATGTGTCTGCTCTAGCAATCACTTTATTGTTTAGGGTGCTATTTGTTATTAGAGTAAATACTGTATTTGAATTAGGTGAATTATGTGCCTGTCTTGAAAATTTAGAGAGCAAAGCTGCTACGAAAATCACCCTGTGTTTCAAATGACTGTATAGTTATAAATAAGCCTCTGTGGTATATTTATTATTTTGTCGGCCAAGATCTCTTCCTTATAAATTTAAAAGACACTACATCCATTTATTTAAGACAGAAGAATTTTCTCCCTGTTTTTTTTCCTGTCTTCTTTTTCTTAAGAAACAGTAGAACATATTCAAACGTGTCAAGACATATTTTTCCCCCTGGTAGTTTCATTTTATTACTGTTTCACTGGAAGTGAAAAAACTACATTTATTTACATAAGAGCCCTATATAAGAGGCATACAGAAAAGTAGCATAATCATGATTCAGAAAGGGGGAGGCAAAGTATACATAATCTTGTGCTTTTAAATTGTAAACTGCACTTCCAAGAGGAAACATGTTGCAATAGAAGGCTGCCACTCAAACTGCTATGTCTTACAAGAGTCCCTACAGATTTTTAATAAGCTACTTCAACACAATGTATTTCACAATTTCATTGTTGCATTGGAAATGAAACACTTTGTAACAGAGCACAAGGACGTACTGTACAGGGAGAGAATGAAGTCAAGGGAGGAAACTGTTTGAGGAAACCTGATGCAACTTAATTAGTAGACATTATGCAAATAGTTGGACCTTCCTGATACTTGTGCAAGGAAGTATCCAGGATCTTCTTGCACAGGCAGAAGCCTAAGGGTAATGCATCTGCCTAAGAGTAATGCACAAATAGGAGATCCTGTGTTACTGTACCAGGATAGCTTCATGCTCCACCAGCACCCAAGAAGATCCTGATTTTAGTATTCCACTGGAAAAATGTCTTAGGCTACGTCTGAAGAAGTTACTTGTAACCAGGACATATAGTTTCATTCAAAGTTCTTCTAAAAATGTGTTAGGAACCTAAATATCCAGGATAGCTTCATGCTCCACCAGCACCCAAGAAGATCCTGATTTTAGTATTCCACTGGAAAAATGTCTTAGGCTACGTCTGAAGAAGTTACTTGTAACCAGGACATATTGTTTTGTTCAAAGTTCTTCTAAAAATGTATTAGGAATCTAAATATCTACAGTGGTGCCTTGACTTACGAACTTAAATGGTTCAGGAACTCCAGTCATAACTCGAAATGGTCATAAGTTGAAGCACCATTTCCCATAGGAATGCATTGAAATGCAATTAATTCATTCCAGCCGAAGAAAAAAATAACAAAACAAATCAGTGCAAGACCCATCAGAAACACGATTAATCCCTTCCAGCCAAAGAGTTAAATGGTTCAGGAACTCCAGTCATAACTCGAAATGGTCATAAGTTGAAGCACCATTTCCCATAGGAATGCATTGAAATGCAATTAATTCATTCCAGCCGAAGAAAAAAATAACAAAACAAATCAGTGCAAGACCCATCAGAAACACGATTAATCCCTTCCGGCCAAAGAGGGGGGAAAAGAAAAGCAAGTGAAGTATGCAAGACCCATCGGAAATGGGGGAAAAAAAACCCAAAAGCAACCAAACCCCACAAGACCCATTGGAAAAGGGGGGAAAACCCCAAAAGCAACCAAATCGCACAAGATCCATTGGAAATAGGGTAAAAAAACCCCAAAAGTAACCAAATCCCCCAAGACCCATCAGAAATGGAAAAAAACTCCAAAAAGCAACCAAATCCCCCAAGACACATCGGAAATGGGGGGAAGCCAAAAAGCAAACAAATCCAGACACATCAGAAATGGGGGGAAGCCAAAAGGCAAACTAATCTCCCAATACCCACCGGAAATGGGGAAAATATCCAAAAAACAAACTCCCCAAGACCCATCACAGCACAGAAACATAACCCACCCCAGCCCATAACCACACTGCAAAACCCACCCAGAACAGTTTTGAAAAAGCAGTAAGCGGCACTTTACCTTACCAGGCAATCCAAAGCTGGAACAGTTTTTAAAAAGCAGTAAACAGCACTTTACCTTACCAGGCAACCTGAAGCTTCCTCCAATCGCACACACTCTAACTGCTGGGGTGAAAGTGCTACAAAGAAGCAATTTGAATTTCCCACCTTTTCCCCCTGCCTTTTTGTGTTCGTCACTCACCTTTTTCCCCTGCCTTTTTGTGTTCGTCACTGGAAGCTCTGGCCGCAGGTTGAAGCAACATTTTGCGGCCAGAGCTGGTCATAACACAAAATGGTTGTATGTCAGGACGTTTGTAAGTCGAGGCACCACTGTATATCTAACATTTAAATTTAAGCAACACTTGTTTCTGTGAGAAGCCTAGCATATATAAATAAATAATGGCGTGCCGTCAAATCCATTCCAACTTATAACAACCACTTTCAGGGTTTCCTAGGCATAGAGTCTTCATTGGTGGTTCACTACTTCCTTCTTTAGGGCCCACTCCGGGACCATGTAGTTTTGCCCACGGCCACATTGGCTGGTTGTTCTTCCAGGAGGCAGAGTGAGGAGTCAAACTCTCAACCTCTGGCTCCACGGCCAGAAACCCAATTCACTGAACTAACCAGCCAGCCCTACAATATTTTATTTTTATTTACGTATTTAAAATATTTTTACCCTGTCTTTTCCCATAAAAGGACCCAAACCCCCATTTATATAGTTGATGTGGACATGAATACACTGGGGTGGGAAGTAAGACCAACTGGTCTCACCAAAATAATACAGCACTCCTGAACCTTCAGTAATTGTGTAGAACAGTGGTCCCCAACTTTGGGCCTCCAGATGTTCTTAGACTACAACTCCCAGAAGCCTTCACCACCACCTCTGCTGGCCAGTATTTCTGGGAGTTGAAGTCCAAGAACATCTAGAGGCTCAAGGTTGGGGACCACTGGTGTAGAAGGCACTTCAGCAAGTAGAACTTGTCATGCGAGCTGCACCTGCTCAAACTCCCTGTTTTGCTTAACTTTTCAATATCCAGAAGTCCTGTTCTCTTTTGCACCTGGTCATTCTCCCTCCATGCATGTCTTATATGCAGTCGCTAGAAGCTGTAAGCAGGGCTTTGTTTACATGGGTGGCAAAGTAATGTCTAAATATTGTTGGACTGGAACTACCATCTGTCCTAGCCAGTGGAGGCAATGGGAGCACCAGTCCATCAAAATTTAGAGGGCTCCATTTGCCCACTCCTGGCTGACAGCTTCTAGTAGCTCCATTGAAGTGATCCCATTCTCCTTCCACACAAGTCATCTCCGCAGATACACTATGAAGCAGAGCTACAGCCAGCTCTTTTTCTGAACTAAGAAATATAACAGCCTACTCGTCCTATGGATTCAAAAGCGCCAAAGATCCAGTGGCCAATTTTTGTTGTTCTAGTAGAATAAAAATATAAGTATATGTGGAGTCAATTAACAATGTCATGCTGTGAATAAAGTAGCAGGCTTGCATACAGGTGTTGTGAAATCTGGAGGGAGAATATCTGTTTAGCAACAAATGATAGTTGTTTTTTTCCAATGCCTTCTTTTGTTCTTCCTGTCCCTTTCTCCCACTCTTTCCTTTGTTCTCTGCCAGTACAACTTGAAATCCAGTTTCTTATGATTACAGAGGAAATGATAGACTACACAATCAAAGAGCCACTCCCCAATACATATTTTCCACCACATCGTCCACATTAAATTTGCTTTCCCAGCTATTTTCGAATGACAGTTCTTAAAGTGAAACGGTCACTTATTTTAAACTGCCCCTAGAGATTTTACCCCCTCCCCGCAATTGGTCAGGTCTTGATTAAGATATTATGTTTATCATCCAGCTCTTATATTTCCCAGTATATTGGAAAAAAAAATATTCCAGTTACCGTACCTCTGCGAAAGCATCCCGGTTTGCCTGGAGGCTAACCTTGACTACTTCAAAAGGGTTAACCACAACTGCTTCTGTGAGCCCAGATCCCAAGCCAGCAACTGCAAATGTCTAAAAGAGTTAAATCAATCAGTTCTCATGCACACTGCAGCAAAACATCCCGCACATCACTTTCTGAAGCTGAGCATTAAGCTGACTGATACGATGAAAGTGGAGAGACCAACCCCTGCGCCGAAGTATACCATTACTAAACAGCTTTCGTCCTTGATTAGATGTTGACAGTTCATGCAGAAGAAATTACAAAAGCCACAAACCACATTCCAAATACTCAAAATAAAATGTCAAAGTCCTATCAACAACACATTCTCCCTAGCTAGAAAGAAAGCTTTGTGACTGATTCAAGAAATGCCTGTGTGGGGAAAAGCATGCCCTGCCCATTCTGTTTCAGGAGATTATTACCCTATGAAGAATAATTTACACATTATTGTGTGCATAATATCATGAGAATGACAGCTCTTAAAATCACTTAGAAGCAGAGTATAAAGTGAACAGTTAATTAGTTAGTATATTTATTACAAAGAAAATACCAGACTAAATTGCTCTCTTCCCAACACAGTGAACAGATATTTTTGAAGAAGGAAAAGTTTCACTTCCGAGAAGACTTAAACAATGTAATGCTGAAAACAAGGACTTTGGTACATCATATAACAAAGCAGTTGCCGCATGGGCATTCAGTGTAATACAGGAATTACAAGGGCCAGAATCATATTGCTTTTCCTTTGTAGAACAGACTCATGAGCCAAAATGTTGTTGCACAACTACACGTGAGGTTGCAGTAATTGCCCTACTGCTGAAGTGGAAGTGCAATCCACAAAGGACTTCCACCAGCGCATTGCACAACTGGTGTGCTGGGGATGCCCAACTAATTCCACTACTGAATAGCGTAATTGTTGTTGCCAGACATAAATTCTTAGCACACTTATGCCAGTGTAACTTTACATTACTGCCACGAACAGGATTTGGCCCATTGAATCAAGTGCTGAATGGTAAGTCAAGAATTACATAAACTCAACAGAATCAATAGGTCTAGCTGGGGCTAGCAATAGGACATTGGCCAGTGAGATAATGAAGTGCCAGGCGCACTCAGTAAATATAACAATGTAATAGACTGGCTGAAATCCAGTAGGAAGTTGCAAGTAGAGTAGGCCCATTGAATCAATGGAACTTACATAGATGTTGACTCACTGATTCAATGGCTCTGCTATAATTGCAACTTACTACAGGATTTCAGTCACTGTATGGGGCATTCGAAGTATCTAGATGATACAGACAAATATTGTAAAATAACTTTAAAAAAACATTTTCATAATCCTGAACTCAGAGACCAAAATGCAGCAGAGTAAGATGCTTTAGGACTAATAGTATCTAATTCATTTATGATCTCATGCCTTAATACCACTTGCATTAAGCAAAATATAGGAGCTGGATAGGGATGTGGCAGGCAGCCACCGGCATTTCAACCCTAGAAGACCATGACATGTTGCCTGGGCGCACCAAGTAGAGGAGGGGTAACTGGGTTGTGAGAACCAGCCCACATATGGTTGGTGCCCTGTGGCAGATGTTGCCTTTATTTAGAGCAAACAGGGCAAGATTAGGAGAGTAAACCTACCCAGGATCTATCCCAGAGTCGTCCTATCTCCATATAAACCAGTGTGAAGAACTGACCAAGGACTGAAGAATTTCTTCATTCAGTCCAGTCATCATTATACAGGTGGAAAAATATTTTACCTACAAGGCACTACTTTAACTTACTATAAATGACTGCCATTCCAGGAAGCAACAGAACATTTTGCATAATTTTCTGCAGAACAAGTGAAAAGACTTCATGGGTCCAGTAACTACCAACATCAAACAAGTGGTTGCTAATCAGTTATAACTATTATTAAACAGATTCAGGTCCTAGCATAAATTAACTCAAGAAAGTTCATGAAGGGGATCTTTACTGCCTCTCTTCACTCTCTAGCCCCCATTATATATCTTTTAATAATGCTTCTTTGTATATCTGGGGGGGGGGGAAGGGTTCTGGAGTAAAATGGAATTGTTCAAAATTGGGTAGATCTCCAGAAACTGGGTCAACTGCCTCCCTCACCCACCATTCATTGTTCTGGAATGCTTCTAGAACTTCTGGAGAAGTATTTTGGGATGTGCAGGTGGCTATAGGGTAGAGGAAGTGATGGAAAACCCCTTTCCTTAATTCCCAGAAGTAAAGACCATGGGATCCATGCCAATAAAGTTAATAATACAAAATCCTACCACCTCCTGTCCAACAGTGACATGTTTGTGTGCAGCCTACAAAGTTTGTGTACAAAGACATCCTGACAAAGTCCTTTCCTAGAAGCTCTATATAATGGACTACCTAAGGCATAATTTATCAAATCTTCAAGTGCTTTGTTTGACCACAGATGCTTTGGAAACCAGCCTTTTCATGTATCTTTATTATGGATAAACAGTTTGTGTAATCAGGAAGTGGAGAGGTAAAATGGAGAGCTAAATACTAGAGTACACAAATAAAATTCTAGCAACTGGTTTGAGTAACCTTTTAGAAGGCAGAGCTACATGCCATAATATCCAGAAATATCTGTCTGAACATCTATCAAATAAATTTTCTTGCTTTATTTAATATTCCTAGACCTCAGCTTATCAGAGAGCAACCAAAATTTAACACAGTTCTTTGATATTTCCATATTTAGATCAACAAGTTTTATTTGACATACATTTGGCATCATTTATTTGGTATTTATAGAAGTGGATAATAGAGCACCAAAGCTTATACCAAATAAACCTTGTTAGTCTTTAAGGTGTCACATGATTCTTTATTGGTATTCAAAGACAAAGACTGGGTAATGTGAAGCATCCTATGAATAATAAACAGCAATGTTATTCACACCAAAATTAAACAAAACGGGAAATCAAAAGGTATCCACGCTTGATTCTTCTAGTGGTGGAAACAACATCACATTAAGTAGAGTAAGAAGGGCCCACATCTTGAAATGTGATTTAGAATCAAAGAATAATGAAGTTGGAAGGGGCATATAATAAGGGATATCCAACCCCTTGCTCAATGCAGGAGTCCAAATCAAAATATATCCAACAAATGGTTGTCTGTTTCTTGAATGCCTCCAGAGTGGGAGCGCTCACCGCTTTCCAAGGTATTTGATAAGTATTCCCTGTACCTCTCTCATCTATGTCATTAATAAAAATGTATAAGAGCACCAGGCCTTGGACTAAAGCTCATGGTATCCCATTTGTTGCCTTTTCCCTGTTTGGGAAGGAGCCATTGGTGCACACTCTCTGAGTACAATTTTGTAACCAACTGTGTATCCACCTGACAGTTGTTCTATCCAGCCCAAACCTAGTTAACTGCTAATCAGGGGCACTTTGTCAAAAGCTTTACCGAGGTCAAGATATAATACGTCTACAGTATTCCCACCGTCTACCAGGGATGTTATCAGATCAAAAAGTGGGATGATCCTGGCAGGATTTATTCTTGACAAATCCATGTTAGCTTCTAGTATTAAAGGATTATTTTCAAATCAGAGTGACTGATTTATAATCTGCTGCAGAATTTTCCTGGGGATTGATGTCAGGCTGACTGGTCTGTACTTCCCAGTTTCCTCCTTTTTGCCTTTTTTGAAGGTAGGGACAATGTTAGTCTTCCTCCAATCACATGGCATTTCATCCATTCTCCATGATTTCAAGAAAATGCAGTGGCTCCGAGAGGTTCAATACTCTTGGATGCAGTTCATCCAGTCTTATAAATTTGTATTCATTCCAAGCAATAATTCCTCGACAATTTGTTTATCAGTCTCAAGCTGCAATCCCTGTGCCCTCCACTTGTACTTCACATTTGCCCAGAGGTCATAGACTACCTTTCGGAAAAAGACCATACTAAAGTATGAATTGAACACTTCTGTCTTTTCTTTGTTATTTCCTATATTTTCCCCATGTCCACTAAATAACTGAGACATTATTTCTTTTCTACGTTTTTTGCTAAACATGTAAATGAAGAATGCTTTTTTGGTTGGTTTTAGTATCTTTTGCTAGTCCCCGCTTTTTTGCCTTCCCTGTGACATCCCTGCAGTTCTTTGCTGTCCTTTGTGGCCTGGCCTTCATTCCACTTCTTATACCTATCCTTTTCTATTTTCGGGTCATCTCTGAGATTTTTTGTTAACTAACATTGGTCCTTTTTTTGCTGTCTTTCACTGTTTCTCTTGCTGGAATTGTTTTTATTGTGTGTTTAGAATTTAGAATTTCCCTTTTTAGAAACTCTCATCCATCTTGGACTCCTTTTCCTGTTAGTATCTCTTGCCATGGGACCTTATCTATCATTCTTCTGAGTTTAGTAAAATTGGCCGGCATATACATATGGCTATCTCTGCTTTTGTTTCCTTTGAAATCAAGAACTCAAGTAGAATATGGTAACTCTCCCTTGGAGATGGCCTTACTGCCACTTCTACCTCCAAGTCATCATTATTGATTAGAATCAAGACAAAGATAGCTACTCCTCTAGTTTCTTCATCTACTTTTTGTAGAAGAAAACTATCAGCAACAATGGCAGGGTTCTTGGAAGGGTCATATTTGGCAAAATGTGCTTCTCAACAGATGTCAGGGATAACTGAAATATCCCATTATTACTACATTGTCTCTCTTTGAAAATCTTGCAATTTGTTCTTCAAAGGCTTTGTTAGTAGTAGACTCGGAGTACATATACCTTTTTTTTCCTTTTTGCCCCAGTTATAGTAATCCAGATGGTCTTGATGGCACAACCAAGCTCACCCTCCTGTATTTCTGTGCAGGAATATGTATTTTTGAAATATACTATGACTCCACTTCCCTGTTGCTGCAGAGCTTGGAAGTAACACATTACAAGCAACACAATTACCTGTAAGATGTTCATTATGGAAGCAATAACTCCATAAAAATGTGCAAAATGAATATAATAGCTAGTAATATCATTACATTTTCTGCCTGTAAGGAGCAGATGATGAAGATGATTTAATTTATTTATTTTATTATTTAATTTGTATACTGCCCATTTGGCTGCAAAGGCTATTCTGAACAGTTCACAAATAGTAGTAGTAGTAGTAGTAGTAGTAGTAGTAGTAGTAGTAGTAGTAGTAGTAGTATTTACTTGCTACTTTTTAATTAATACTTTTTCAGAGCAAAATATATTTACAAAGAGACAGGAAAAGAACAGTTAGCAGTAATAAAGAACTTCAGTTAAGTAACCACAGCAACTCCCTTTAAAAAATTCCCCAAGCTTTGCCTTTATTCTGCTTAGCTAATAAGTATGGGCTTTGGGGTTTTTCTTTCTCTTTTAAAAAAAATTTTTGGTGAGCTTTGCCAAATCCAAAGAAATTCTCTCTGTCAGAAGCACACTTAATCACAGCAACTCCCTTTAAAACTCCCTTTAAAAAAATTCCCCAGGCTTTGCCTTTATTCTGCTTAGTATGGGCTTTGGGGCTTTTCTTTCTCTTTTAAATTTTTTTTTTGGTGAGCTCTGCCAAATCCAAAGAAATTCTCTCTGTGTCAGAAGCACACGTCTTGTGTATACCTATAGTGTCTTTATGCACAACACCTTTTGCAATGTTACCACCATCCTCATTTATCTTGGCTTTATAACATGAGGAATATCCAACAATCCATGAAGCTTAGTGAACCGTTGTATTATTTATTCAAAGCATATTGAGGAATTTTCTCCTCATCCCATACATCTGCAAGATGAATTAGAGTTTTTCCCTGCTAAAAATATGATAACTTTTAAGGATTTATCTCATGTTCATTGGAAAAGGTAGAGCCATTAAATCACACACACACACACACACACAAACACACACAGAGAGAGAGAGAGAGAGAGAGAGAGAGCGAGAGAGAGAGAGAGAGAGAGAGGACAATAAAAGGGAAGAAGAGAGAAAAAGGGAACAGGAGGATCTTTAAAAACCAAATACAGTGTAATAATAGTAGTAATGTAACAGACAAGTGCAGTTTAACTAGGCAAATCCCATTTCATGCAGACTTTCATTCCCAGAGGCTGATTAGGTACATTCTAATAGAAAGACTTTTGCTTTACATGACAAACCAAAAAATTACTTTATCCACTTGTCACAAAACTTCCACTAAAAAAGCCAAACTCCAGAAATACTTCCAACTCCAATCTCATTTAACTAAGAAATCTACAATCCAGATGGTCAGAATTTGTTGCTACTGTACTCTTCCTATTTTCTTTTCTTTTTGGTAACAGCATAAAAAATTATATATCCTAAGAGCAGGGTGGCCGGCTTCCACAACCCTAAAAGATGCATTCTGCCCCCAAATCTCAAGGCACAATTGTCCATAATTTAGAGCAAGAAACAAATAAACACAAACCCTGGAACACACCAATAAGGGTAGCAACTTGAGATACACATCTGAATTTTACAGCTCCCACTTCACACAGAACCCCCCGCCCCCCGAAACCTGCACTTCCACGGTCCAAAAAGTATCATCTGTTAGGTATCACACAAAGGCTCCACCCCAATATAGCAGGAGCATATGCTGAGTATCTCCCAGAATATTTTATCTCTTTATTCCCACCTCCATGACTCTTTGCTTGTCCCACTCCATTATCTTGATGAATTTGAGAAGAGAAGGAGGAATCTGTCATGTGGACTGAAAAGCTCACTTTCAGACAGTGGGAGCTCAAGCCTTAGGATAAGGGTGTCCCTGCCCCACCTCAAGCTCAGCCTGTTCCCAGTTGTCCCACTTTTGCCTGCTTCCTTGTCGCAGGCAGAAAGCCCTCTGAGTGAATGTTTATTTGAAGACATGCCAGTCTGCCTGCTTCTCTGTAAGTTTCTGTGAGTAGGACAACCCCCCTTTCTGTGTGTATGAAGACCCAGTATCGCCCCACTTCTGCCCATTCCAGATGCCCATACCTTCTGCCTCACCAATTAGCGGGTCACAGCCACCACTGCTTCCAGGGAGTCTTTTTACTTCCCCTACAAAATCAAAAAGATATACAGAAAGACGACCCCTCCCCACCTCCAGTTTCTAGTATATAGTATCACTTACCAATGCTGGTGACAGCAAAACATTTCCTAGTAGTTTCTTGTATTGCTCAAAGGTGAAAAACTGGAACATAAATATGGTGGAATTTTAAAACTTAAGAAGAGATTTTATTTTAGAAGGCTGGTTACCTTTAAAGACCAAGAAAGAATGATTTGATCTACTTGTGCGTTGCTGAGTGATTAGTGCAGCACACATGGCTTTGGTTAAATCTGAATTTAGCTAATTTTTCTTTCAGATCATTTTGAAACTTATTAGAAAGATGAAAACTATACAAATATGTATAAATACACAGATGGTTATGAGTGGGCATACACATACATAGATACTATACAGATGCTCAATTTAATTTATAGTGGCTCCACATCGTGACATTTTCCTCCTTCCTATACACTAGAATGAAAAGAATCACACTTCCCAAATCTTTATGCAAATCAAATGGCTATCTGTCACAAATGTAGTTCCTTCTTCAAAGGAAATAATTCTCCTTAAAATAATGTAAAAAGCTGTCCTACATATTTTGTTTAGTAAATACCAGCATTCTGAAGTCTTACGTTTTTGGCCTACCTCTCACAGAACAAATCACTGGCCTTACTGGCTGGAGAAATCTGGAAGCTGAAGTTTTTTAAAAATAACTTTTCCAAACTCTGGACAAAGTAGCTTTCTTTTTGTTTCTTCTTACTATTGTTTGCACTTAAAATGCATTCTTTCAGCCTTCTAAAGCTTTAGGATTAGAATACACTTCCAACTCTCTGATGGGTCAGAAGGCGACATGTCAAGTACAAACATATACCAGTTCTCAAAATAACTGCTACCATTCAATTCATGCCTGTGGCTTCCCTGCAACTTATTTTGAGTAACCATAGCAACATTTTAAGACGCTGCTCCAGTCTTGTCTGTTGCAATATAAATCTGGCACTATCTTGCCCTGCCCACTTCTGATATGGCACACTCTAGGCTGGGCACCAAGCTGATGACTTTGACAATGGTGATGCCACATAACATTTATTTAAATCTAGCAGCTCCATTCTTTTCATGTGTATGAAACACTAAGGCTTGCTCTTGACTTCTTGTTTACCAAATGCAAGTATTAATCACACCCAGCTATGTGTGTGTGTTTAGTCGTTTAGTCGTGTCCGACTCTTCGTGACCCCATGGACCAGAGCACGCCAGGCCCTCCTGTCTTCTACTGCCTCCCGGAGTTGTGTCAGGTGTTCTTGGCAAAGATACTGGAGTGGCTTGCCATTTCCTACTCCAAGTGGATTGTGTTTAGTCGGAACTCTCCACTATGTCCTGTCCGTCTTGGGTGTCCCTGCACGGCATAGCCCATAGCTTCTCTGAGTTACTCAAGCCCCTTTGCCACGACAAGGCAGCAATCCATGAAGGGGACCCAGCTATGATTCCTCCCCTATTGACTCTTATAGGCAAAGCAGAAACAAATATAGCAATATTTTTTAAAAAATCAAGGAACACAAGCCTTGAACTCCACAGCCACATGGCTTCAGACCTGGTCTAGCCATCTCCACAGGACTCTGTGTGTGCCAGCTCCAATTTTTTTTCAGGTCATACAAAGGAGCAAGAATGTGTGATATTTGTCACTGTGAGTAGAAGGCAATACACAGTGTCTGTATCAGTCAGGCAAAATCTTTAAGAGTAGAGATCAACAGGTCTGGTCATCTGTCATCTAAGTAGTACATTGTGGACCAGTTACTTCAACCTCAGGTCCTACTGAACACTATGGCCCTAAATAAGATGCCCAAAGCTCTATCCTGGCAGCTAAAATAAACTCTACTCTATTTTTTTCTTGGACTCAACCTATGATCTATGCTGGAAGCACTTCATGCTGGAGTACCAGAATAATGTGACTCCCTGCTTGGTCCACAGGCTGTTTGTACACTGTCCTATCAAATCATGTTACCTTCAAAGTAAGCCAGCTTTCTTCAGAAGCTTGAAGGCCTCTTTGGGACATTTTAGAGAGTATGTGCAATGGGAATTTCAGTTATTCCTACAATACATATTAAATTGGAGGTTGTGTACCCCACAAGAAGCCTCAAGATATTAATTGACCCATTGATTGGGATCAGTTGACATATCTGTAGAGCAGAAGACTTTAACTAATGTCTTCCTCTTACATTTGATATCCTTCTTCCAACATTATACAAAGCTGGAGCTCTATAATTTCATCATAAAGAAGAGTCGGATGCAGGAGTGCTATGATGGTTCATGCATGTTTAATATCAATTTAGTAAATGCTGTCCATTCACTTTGAGCAGCAGGCTGTTTCCACCTAACTCAGTAGCCACAATCCTGGTTGTCCACGCAGAAAGTAACATTAAGCCTGTGTAAAGGTGTTGGGTGTTAGGCCAAGCAACAAGGATTTCCCATTCACTTGTGCAATAAGTTGTGTGGTTTGTGAAAATCATCCATCACATCTTGGAGTTAATTCACTAAACAAAATATAGATCTTCCTGTGCCAAAATCTTATGATCAATTAATTTAGAAAACAACCCTAAATATCAATGTAGCTTGTATCTACTTAAAGGTAATATCCACTGAGTTCAGCAGGGATTGCTCCCATATAAAGTGGAACACCACCACTCTATAAATCACCAAAGATAAACAATCAAAGGGGTTATGCAAAAAACAAGTGGATGAAAGGTTTTGTTGAACTAATAAAAACATATATGGAAGAATAAGCATCAAAACACATTTTACACTGCATATCAAACTAACACACATGTGTCCTTTTTTTCTTTTTTGCCTTTTATCATGGAATTTTAGGTATTAGTTAATGTTTTCCATGCCCTCCATCCACATTACCTAGCAATCTTTGTTCTTAAAAATTTGCCTTCAAAATACCAATTGCTTCCTAAAGCCATAAACAGAAGAACTAGCTAGAATGTAGTAACTCTGTTTCTTATTATGTGGACAGTTTTGAAGCTGAACAAAAGCAAACTGAATAGTAGTAACCTCCAAACAAAGAGTTGAAATGGGCAAACCAACTTAGTTCGTCAAAAGCTTAGTGATGTTTGTTCCCACGGCTCACTTTAATTAAGAGCTCAGAACATTGTTATCACAAAAAGAGTGAAGCTGTTGTTGTTATAGTTGCTGATGGTCAGGTTATTTGATATTTTTAAGTAAAAAGAAAAAAAGAAAAGCTTTTTTTTAACTCAAATCCAAGGAAAAACTAATTACAAAATATAATATATGTCTTTATGTATCTAATAGTCAATACTGTCCATCTGGCAAAGATACACGTAAATCTAAGTTCCACAGAGAGGGGAAAAAGACAAAGTACTTACCATATGTCTCACTAACATTAAGGTTAAAAAAAAAAGTCTGGGAACACATGCAAAATATGTATTTGCCCAAGAAGATCATCTGTTAACCATTGTACTGGCACTGTTCATGTCTTTTCTTCAAGTCCAGACTAAATCAGGGCTATAAAGTTTGGCTTTTCATCCTTCGAAATTACCAGCTTTCTTTCAGAAAAGGAGAGGGGGAAGCAAGACAGAAAAAGGCACAAACAGACAGACAAAGGATGTGAACTCTTCAAAGCAAAATTGTCTTTGACACATGGCGTCCAAGTGACATATTACCTTAATTATAATGGCTTTATTTTTACATGCAAATGGATTTACCAAAGGAATACAGAATTATATTTTCCTTCTCAACAGGAACTCTGCCTTGTTTGTTTATCTGAGTGATCTTTTATCAGCACAGCAGTTTTATAATTCAAGGCAGCCTTTCTCTGAATGTTTCGGAGATGTGAATGGCAGGTACAGATGCATCTGTGTAAGATTACCACAATAGAACTCGAATTATAGTAATGAATTTGAAAGGGATTCCATCCGCCATCCCCCCTACCCCAGCTAAATTGAGAAATTAAGGCTGCAGTCCTACAACCACTAACCAGGGAATAGGTCCCAGTCAACTCACTAGGACTTACTTCTAAATAAACATCTACAATATGTCCGTACAAGTGAGCAGAAGGCATTAGTCCCAGCACTTTAGTAACTTGCTATAAATAAATTAGTATATAAGCTGGAACTATGTGGTGGATTTGCAGCTGTATTTAACCCTATTTGTTCTCTCACCACTTATGTGGTCAAGTATTTTGTTATTAAATTGTTGTGTTCTGTTATAAGTATAATGTCTATTGAGTTATGCATAGACTGGATTCCTTTAAATGGAAGAATAGTCCATAAAATTTTTAAGACATTTCTAAAATTGTTTTCAATATAATAATAGTGATTATTCTGTTGCTTTAATTGACTGTGAGCTACCCTGAGTTCTCTTTGGGATAACGTATAAAATGAATGAATGAACAACATTTAAATAAATGAATAAATTAAATTTCCTAGTGAAAAATCACAATGAGATGCTTGAAGTTTAGGAGCAGTTATCTCATGCAAGCTCTGGCAGTTCAACCCAAATGTAAGTTTAATAAAATCTAATTTATATATTCTTTCAATGCGACTTATAGAGCATAAAAGTTTAAGTTTAACATCATAATGTGTTTATCAATGGATGTTTGAGCAGTATGTGTGTATAGAGATGCTGAGGCATGTGACCAGAAAATCTGTTTCGTTCTGAAAGCATTCTTCACTTCTGTCCTCTTTTTAATGTACGTTAAGCTACTTTCAATCATTTCTGTTTGAAAAGCAGGTGTACCACTGGGCAACTGTATTACATAAGTCTGCTCCAAGATTCTAAAACACCCTCCTAAGGGAGGTGAGGTAACCCCACTTCTTGCTGTCTTCCCACCAGCAGGCAAAGACTATTACTTTTAGTCAGACTTTCAGATGGCAGAGAAAGGAATTTTAATGCAGGATGCTGCAAAAGCTACTGATTTTGCATGTTGTAAAATCCATTTTGAACTATTTTAAAATTAGTGTCCTTTTAGTATATGTTTAATTGCTTTTTAAAATACTATCACTTGTAGAATTTTTTCCTTGTGTCTGGTTTTAATAATTTAGTAGAAAAGCAGGATGGAATTAAAGTTAATAATAGTAATATTATAATAACGATAATAGAAATAGGAAGAGAAGGTGGATTCAGGTTCCTTTCCCTTGTGGAAAGCTAAATATTTTTTGCACATGATCTCTGATTCCTCTCTTCCCACACATGATGTAGACTTACATCAAAAAACCGCACCAGTTATGTATAATAGAAGGTGCCAACAGGTTTGGTGGTAAATCAAAGGTTTGGAGATGCTAATGTTATCTTTAGGGGGAAATGCGGGTGAGAAAACTGTCCCATAAGCTATTGGTAGCATGAAATGTTAGCTGACAAAACTTCAAGGGGAAAAAACAACAACACCTAGCAATCCAAGTGGGAGTGAGGATGGAGAAAAGTGGCTTGAAAATGAGAGGGGAGACATTGGTTGTTGTGGGTTTTCGGGCTCTTTGGCTGTGTTCTGAAGGTTGTTCTTCCTAACATTTCGCCAGTCTCTGTGGCCGACATCTTCAGAGGGGAGACAGATTGACACAGATAAAAGAAGTATAGAATTAGTCTTCTCATTGTCTATATTGTGAGACTATTTCTAAACATCCCTGGGGAGTTGCCCAAAGAGGTCTAAATGGCAAAATGAAAGATCTGATGTAGCTGTACCTGCACACAAGCATGGCCATCCCATCCCATTCCAAACAAGTCTAAAATGGAGGGAGAGGAGTCAAATGCAAATTAGCCTCCCCAAACCTGTATCCACCTCACCTTCTGAAAGGGGATAGAACAGAGATTTGTAGGGTACAGGATCTTTCACCTTATTTCCTTCTTCAGGCAGCTGATCTTGCAGTGAAGATTGTGCTGCTGCATACATTTAACAGAAAAAGTCAATTGTATGCACATATGTATTTGGGAGGAAACAGAATGACTTACCTTTACTGCTCTTTTGGGTGTTTCAGCCAAAATTGGAGGGAGGATCCCTTTATAGAATCCAAATAGTCTATTGAAAGGAAGACACACAAAAAAGGAGTTACTGTTAAGATACCGGTATATATGAACATTAGCCAAATGGTAATTCTGTTTTCTTTTCAGAATGTACCAACTAATATCAAAGTACTGTATTCTTGAATTCCAAATAACTCTTATTGCCGACAATGAAGTTATGTTTTCATACATATTATATACATACAAATTCTTTGAAGACTGAGATCCAAACTGTGTTTACACCATGGAAACAAGAGGCATAACTGTCAGTTTGTAAATACAAATTCAATCCACTTAATCAGCATAGATCAGATTACTTTTTTATTTAAAGAATAATTTTTCTGTGGAAAGGAGAAAGGTAATAAAGAACATTAATTAACTGCCCATCACCTGTAGAGGAAAATTCAATATTAATAGGAGAGAAAAGAACAAAGAGTCCTGTAACACTTGATATATATATATAAAGTGAGCTTTATAGAGCATTTCATGTGTTAAGCTTTAAAACATCCATGGAACTATTTGTTTTTTCTATGAAATAGCCCTGTTTCAGGAGGAGGACTTGCATTCAAGCAACAGGTAATTTCTAAAACCATGGTCCTCTCCAACTTATCGGATGATATGAATGAGTGATCTCCAAAACATCCTCCCCCCTAACAGCCCTGCTCAGCTCTTGTAAACTCAAGCCTGTGTCTTTCTTTAGGAAGGTCTTCCATCTCATATTTTCATCGCTCTCTTTTCCTGCTACCTTCCACATTTCCCAGCATTGTTGTCTTTTTCAGAGAATCCTGCCTTTTTATGATGAGCACAAAATAGGACAACTTCAGTTTCAACATTTTTTGCCACCAGAGATAGTTCAGGCTTGATTTGATCCAGGACCCACTTGTCTGTCTTTCTGGCAGTTCAGGGCATCTACAAAGCACCACACTTCAAATGAATCAATTTTCTTCCTGTCAGGTTTTTTCCAGTGTCCTGCTTTCACACTCATACATAGTAATTATGAAATACGAGCATGTGGATGATCTTGGTCTTGGTCTACAGTGACTCATCCTTACCCTTGATGATCTTTTCCAGTTCCTTCATTGCTGCCCTGCCAAGTCTTAGCCTTCTTCTGACTTCTTGGCTGCAGTCTCCCTTTGGATTGATAACTGAACCAAGATATACAACATCTTCCACTATTTCAATTTCTTAACTGTGGACATTAAAGTTGCCTAGTTCTTCTGCAGTCTAATAGATTTCTCTTCTCCTTGATATTCAAATGCTTTGGCACTTTCTTCTTTTGCTTTCAGTAAAAGCCATTTCACATTATTGCCGTTTTCTGCCAGTTAGATGGTATCTGCATATCTTTAATTACTGATGTTTCTTCCCCCAGTTTTCACTCTTCCTTCATCTGAATCTAGTCAAACTTTCTGTAAAATGCACCATTGTCTGACATACATATAATTTTTATCTTGTCCACCTAGTGACCAGGCCAGTACAATAAAAGCATCCACAACACAAACCAATATTCTGCATTCAGGATACTGATCCTACTTCTGCCACCTTTTACTTTTACACCTTGTCTGTCCTTTACAATTTTAAGTGTTGCTTTCATCATTTATCTAGGTTTTTCTTTTCTCTTTACTACTACTTTCTTTTCTCTTTGTCTTTTTGCTTCCTTCCGTATTAATATCTCTCATTTCAATTCACAGTTCTTCTTGTTCATAGTCAATTGATTTTAGCAAGTTCCTTATGTGGACTTTACATTGTATGTTATTCATACTTGCTTTTTGCTCCTCCCCAGTAGACCTTTCTTAATTGGTTGCTTTCCATCCTGGGAGTCTCATCTTCCATCATCATCTCCTGTTTTATTTTGGGCTGTCCCATTAAAGAATTTTCATTATAAGGAAAGTTCAGCAGTGGTTTACCACTGTCTTCTTTTGTCTAGTACTAAAAAAAAGTTAACTCGAGTGTCACTGCCATTGTCCTCCACCAGTGCTACTTTTAGCTACCTCTTCTGCCAAGTAGGTGCCCTCCAGAAATTTCTCCACCCCATCACAATTGGAACTATCCATTATTTTCTACTGATGAGGTCATTACTCTTGAAGAGAGTGGATGCATCTTAGTTTGATGCCTGAGCTGTGAGCATTTGAACTTGAGTGACCCTACTAAAAGTCCAAGCTCATAATGGAGTCTGGCATCCTGAAGGCAGTTCTCTCAGCTTCTCAAACACGCTCAACCCCCACCAACATCATGTTAAGGTGTGCATACATTAAGGGGTTCTAAACCCATACAAGTCACAAAATGATCAAAGTTAATCACATAAAAACAGGGCAACAAAATTCAGCATGAAAGCCTACATTAACTCCAATTAACATAAATAATTCTTCTGATTAGTTTTTTTTAAAAAATACAAAGTTCTAATGGTAAAATTAAATTGTCACGTGGCTATTTCTGGACACTGTATGTGTGCTGTACTGCACATCAGCCAGAGGCAAGTCATATAAGCATTGGAACATATCTGTTTTTTAAAATGATGTTATTTATAAACAGTTCTCTATTGGGACCATATATTTATATTTTTAATGGTATCTCTGTGCTGGGGCGCATGTGTCTTTTGTTTTTCTGTTAGCACCTCTTTAGAAAATTAGATAATTTTTTCCTTAATCTGGTTCTTGCTTACTTTTCTCTCTCTCTTTTAGTCCCTGCTTAGTGAACTTTGGGAGAACTAATCACATTGGCCCTTTGGTGTAAAATAAATAGGGTCATGTACGGTTAGGGGGAGGAGCAATATTCTATTTGACACAATCTATGTTTCTAAATTACATGTTGCCCTCAAGTGACTCTCTAGCTCCTTTCATTGTCAATCAAACACTTCACCTGCTCCTCTGCAGAACGGCAGGGGAAGTGAATTGTTTTTTTCTGTGATAACCATCACTAATGCACTGAATCACTTAGATTAAACTCTTTTTTTTAAAAAAATATTTGCCTTATTTGTAGTGCCAATTCAGAATCCACCCACAGCCATGGTTTCGAATGGCATTTCACACTAAGGGAAAGAAAAAAAAATTAATCTAACTGATTTGGTGCAACAATAATAGTTGAGCAGAGTAAAAAAAAAATCCACTTCACCTGTCCCTCTGTAGAGGAGTAGGGAAAGTTTTTAATTTGCCAATAGCTCACTTATTAAGCTACTTCATGATATCAAAAATTGAAACCAGGAGAAGCCTTGGCAGCTTTGACAGCTGCAAGGCTTAATTTTACTTTGGCCCCAGTGATTGTACATGCTTGGCAAAGGCTCAAAAAGGTGCGGATTGGAGCTCGGGGGGTCAGACTGGTCCACTCTAGTAATTACTTGGTATGCTGTCCAGAAAAAAGAGCAAACCACTTCAGGCCCACAATAATCAATCAACCCTTCATCTGTCTGTACAAACCCTTTGTCTTCCATTAAAGAAAGATTATATTGAGTCTTTTAAAATGAAAGTTTTAAATAAAACTTCTCATCAGAGAAGTGAAACAGAGGAGCACACTCTTCTAAGACAGCACAAGGTCTATTTCTCGCTTTTAGATGTCCTTATTCTTCCAGTAAAAAAAGGAGTAACAACATTTGTAACAAGGCAAGCTCCAAAAATTTGGCCAAAATGGAAGTGAAAGAGGAGGCCACCAAACTGGCAACTTGTCCTCAGATCCAACAGGAATGCAGGTTGCTTTTCTGCTTGAAAGTCAAAAGGCAAACTTTTGCAAACATGTCTGGATGATATATTTTTAGCAAGACTATTGTAATGACAGCTGAGATACAGACGCTTCTAGGGGTCTCATGACAAATTCTAGAATTTTTCTATTTTATTGTTCCCTTAATTTTTGTTGTTGTTCTAGGCAAATTCTCAGTACTAAAGGGCAGAAAAAGAAAGCATCACTTCAACTTAAAATTTAAGCAAAATGGAAAGAGTTAACAGCTACAACTTTGTCCAAAGCACTGTTAAAATGTATTATTTTGTTTCAGCATTAAGCATCTAAATGAACATCACCATTCAATTGTGTTCTGGGCAACTGCCCAAATTCGTTGTTGCAATAGTTGATTTTGAAACATTACAGTCAATCATATCTTCCCAATTTGTTCTTCTTTAAGGCTTTAGGCATCCTTCTGGTTTCCATTTCTTGTTTGGAAGCCTTGAGTCATCCATTTTGGCAACATGTCCAACCCAAATCAGTTATTTTCTCCAAATTATATTGAAATTGGGATCCTGCTTAGTTTGTTGTTTTCCTCCCCTGTCTCTCACATAATTTTCCCTTTAAGGATCAAATAGAAAGCTGATTGAAGGCATGCATATAATATCCTCTTTCTTCAGTTGCTGTCAAATCCAAGCCTGTTACCCACATAGTTTGGTAATTGAAACAACAACAGAAAGTACCTTTAGGGCCCTGCTCACTTGCCTTGCCTGAATCAGGGGTTCAAATAATTTAGATGAGTTACAGAGCCCTGCCCGTGAAGGTGCACAGAGTGTTCAGCATGAAATAAACCATGTAGTTGGCGTGAATAGGTCTTTTTCCATTAGAAAACGTGGAGGCAAGTATTATTTGAAGAAATATCACAGGATAATGGGCAGGTTTAGTTGTATTTGAAATTTGAATTTATCTGAAATTTATTGAAATTCCTATGGAAGCATTTTTATTGTTTGCTCAGCTGAAATGTTACACTATATGTTATACACTGCACTTTGTACTATTGTGGAAGAAGCGCTGGCATTTCAGTTTGGTTTTTAAAACTAAAATTAGGCCAGAAACTTTCTCTCTCTGTAACTTCTGTACACTTCTTCTTAATACCTATTGGAATACTGCAAAAGTGACCCCAAAAGTTACACTCTATTCCGACACACACACATACATGGTCCATTTATATGAATTAATCTGGTATGTTCATATTCTTGTTACAATACTATGAGACTTTTACTAGCACCGGCTGAAGTAGTTTTGTTCCTTGTGTTAGCTCTCCAGTTTAAAAAGAAAAGAGGAGGGAAGGGGGTGCTGAAGAAGTATATT